GTCGGGCATTCATTTCGGGCTTGCTACACCTCCTAACAGAGACCCCCCACGACAATACTCACATTCACATCGATGATAACACCAAAGCAGACTTACGGATGTGGGGCAGATTTCTTTCCTCCTGGAATGGGAGGTCAATGTTCATACCGCCACTCGACGTAGATTCCCCGGTCGTATGGACCGATGCAGCAGCCCACACAGGGTTTGCAGCCATATACAACAACCAGTGGTTCTATGACTCATGTCCATCTAAAACCTCAACATTACAGGCATTTAATACCACATCCCCGCTTTTCGAACTTTACCCAATAGTGGCAGCCGCACACACTTGGGGTTCGTTGTAGGAGGGCAAAGCAGTTAAATACCTCTCCGACAATGAAGCCACATGCGAGATCAGAAACAAAGGCAGATCTGCATCCCTAGTCATCATGAGACTCATGAGGAGACTCACGTGGCTGGCAGCAACTCACAACTTCCACTTGGTTTGCATGCACATACCAGGTCGGGTAAATATTGCAGCTGACGCTCTCTCTCGCTCCACCTTTCAGGCCTTTTCCGAACAACACCCCACAGCGGCAATCAAACCCGAGCCGACCCCTACATTTCAGGACCTGATAATGGACTGATACGGCTGAAACAACACGCACTAACGTTGGCAAAAGCTGCTCTGTCAGACAACACCAAGAAGTGAACTTGCTATTTTCTCCAGGTTCACTTCCGAACACCACATCACCAACACATTTTCCATCGACACGATAGTTGCTTTCACCGCTCACTGCCACCTACACCTTAAGCTTGCACATAACACCATCAAACTTTACCTCACGGGCCTACAGCACCACTTACTTACCTTATTTCCCTGTCACAAAGCTTTCATGTCATCCTATCTCCTGAAAAACGTCCTGAAAGGTATACTTCGCACAGACGGCCCTCCAACAGCCAAAAGACAACCAATTGACGGGAATAAATTTAAGGATCTATCAGATCTGTTAGATTCCAGCCCATTTGAACCTATTACTAACTGCGTACTCAAAACGGCTATGTACATAGCGTTCTACGGGTTCTTAAGGCCCAATGAATTCACGGTGCATAGTCTATCTGTCAACACAAGTTACATCAGAATAAGGGATCTACGAAAATTGGGGGACCACTACGTACTGCTTCTAAGACAATCCAAAACAAATCAGGTGGGACCTCCTACAGAGATCCAGTACTTCCTGACCCATAATAAATGGTGTCCGGTGACAGTCCTAGATACTTTCTGCCTTTCCCTCAAAGACAAACAAAGCTACTCACCCCTACTCACAATTGCCGACAAACCCTTGACCACGGCTAAATTCATACACTGGTTAAGTCCTTGGCGGTCAAACTAAGTCACGACCCCATGTCCATCTCAGGACACTCATTTAGGATTGGCACTGCTTCAGCCGCATCCAGCAATAACGTACCCATACACATCATTAAAAAACTAGGAAGGTGGAAATCAGCAGCTTACGGCAAATACATTCCACAGCCAGAGAAAGAACTTAGGAAGGCTTTCAAGGAATTACTCATTTGAATTTACAAAGCATTAAAGTGTTCTGTTTAAAACCTTTTTGCCCTCATTATTTCAGGCCTACCCGATCGTTGGTTGAGGCACACCACAACCGACTAGCAATTATCACCTACTACTACAGATACGGCTTAATATCCCCGACTACAAATGTTAAGGCGGAGCCTGCAGTTGTGGGAGGGGTTAACCGGCCTATTTATACCCAGACCTACCTCTAATCAGGGCCGAGATTGACCCAGACTCCCCACCCACCAACACCCCTTAGCAAATACTATTTAGGTGGGCCCTCATTATTTCAGGCCTACCCTAGTTGGTTCAGGCACACCACAACCGACTAGCAATCATCACCTACTACTACAGATACGGCTTAATATCCCCGACTACAAATATATATATACTTTAAAAATGTATGTTAGCCAAAGAGGAAAAAAAGATAGAAGTTTTGCGCAACTTGAATTTGCAGTGCACCCCCTGGTGCTACACCTTTAATTTCAGAAGGACAAAGTAAAACAAACATTTCGGGCCATAGCCCTTTATCAATGCTAATGTCCTGTGTGAGAAATAAATAAACAGAGTATTATAAATGCTGAGTGGCCTCTTATTTTAAGTGTTTTCATTTATATGATTTGCTGTGTCTACATATTTAGAAATTTTCAGTGTTACAATATTGGTTTCTATAAAAAGTTAGGACATAACTTTTTTATGTAACCAGCCATTCTGGTGTAAAATAATTATGTTAGATTCTTTTTAGCATCATATTAAATTAAAACGGGATGTTACTAGGTTCTGTTTCCATTTCTTGATGACGTCAGGCAGGAGCAACTCCCAAAAGTAATTTACTCCTGAATGAATAACTCTTTGAAGCCTAGAAACATTAAAGCCTGACCCATTTGTTAGTTTTCAATTAAATTAAGATTATTAGAAGTGAGTTAATCTGCAGGTAAGTAATGGCTTTGCGAAAAGACAATTTCCACTAGTGACGTGAATATGGACAGTACAGGTGCATGAATAATCGTTTGTACACAGAAAAAAAAATATAAAACACAATATGCGTTTTTTGCTCTACAATATAGTCAACTCTTCAGAATGTGTGTGTGCTTTATAAATAAAGTATAATAATGAAAATATTTGCCCGGGTTTGCATATTGAAGCAAAAAAATGTAAAAACACATTTTTGTTTAAATATGTACACACATTCAAAATATTCTTTATATATTTATAAGTAGAGAAATAAAGCTACATTTTATTTTTTTTTGTTTTTTTTTTTGTTTTTTCTTTTACCCAGACATAGAATGTGCTAGTTATACAGTTTGAAAAAAACAACCACGAGATATGTCATATACTCCTAATTATTAAACCTGTGTAACATCGAAGGTGAGACATTGGGGCAGATTTATTAAAGTGTTCTGTTCTGAAATGTGGTACAAAAATGTAAAAGCTGAGGTGTCACTAAATGGAATTTGCCTGTTGGTTTACTGGTTTCCATAGTAATTGCCCCGTGTAGTGCATTAGAACACTTTTTAGAACACAACACTTTAAGAATTCTCCCCAATGTGTAAAGAAGCATCAGACCTTTATCCACTGAGATAAATTTACCTGGGCTTTTATCAAGACTTCATTTTGTATCTCTGTTGAAACAGCAGATGATTCTGATATTATTGATGGCACCAACTCTGGAACACCCTGTTTACCTTCCGTTAATGGCAAAAGGTCCACAACATCCACTTTCAGCAAGAGACTTTGAATAAAAATCCAGAATAGAAGCATCTTGCAGTGTTGCCAAAGTCTGTCTGGAGTCTGTTCCAGTGTTAACCTCTGCCTTTTCTAAGCTAATTTTTGAGATAGCATCTCGCATGTCAGTGCTTATTTCTCAATTCAAACACATCCATTCGTGATTTTTGTTTACAGGTTTTGGATTAAACGTCTTTGTGTCTAAATTGCAAACAGCCCCAGGTCGGCATTCTTCTACAATTTTCTTTTTAGTAGACGCCTGGGGGTCTACATTCTTCTTCGTATACATAAAACACAATTAAAAACACATGCTATTTGTTAATAGCTTGAGATAGAAAAGATAAAGTGATAGTGAGATAAAATTTTAAATGTAAAGAAAGCAAACAAAAAAGGCATGAGGCTTCTTGTTCAATATTCATGATTAAGTATACAAACGATAAAGCATAGCATGACTAGAAAATACATTCTCACTGATACTTTTTTTCTCCTGATTAAATCTATTACTTTTCTGCTAATTTACTTATATAATGCAAAAAAAAAGCCAACCTTTACTTTAAAACGGTAAATGTGTGTGTGCTTTATTAGCTCTGGAGACTAGTTCAAGATGCACGAGTTAAAGGGACACTCCAGGCACCCAGACCACTTCTGCTCATTGGAGTGGTCTGAGTGCCAACTCCCACTACTCTTAACTCTGCAACTGTAATTATTGCAGTTTTTTTATAAACTGCAATAATTACATTGCAGGGTTAACTCCACCTCTAGTGGCTGTCTACCACTTCCGCGTTTTTATAGCAAAGATTTTCTTTGCTAGAGCGTCGCTGGATGTCCTCACGCTGTGTGAGGACCTCCAGCGTCACTCAATTCCTCATAGGAAAGCACTAAAAATCTTTTTCAATGCTTTCCTTTTGCCGTGCATGCGCCTTAGGCTTCCTCAGCCGGCAGGCGGGATCAGTCTCGCCCACCGGCTGACGCGATTACTGAGAGGAGCGACACCGACCCAAAACCACCGTCGAGGGACATCGGCGGGGTCTCAGGTAAGTGACCTGAAGGGGTTTTCACCCCTTCAGCTACCTGGGATGGGAGGTGGCACGGATTGTTTTCCTGGCACTGGAGTTTCCCTTTAACTTTAATTATGGCTTCAGTAAGTAACCCCAAACTAAAAGCAAAATCTATAGTTATCATCTCTCGTTGATATGTGGTGTTTGTTTATCACTTAATTTTAGTCTAATATATCCTGCTGAGACCCAGCCCATTAACTTGTGTCCTCTGTACTGGACATTTCGTTCACATGCATCTCCTTTTATTATTTTGAACTGCTCTATCAATCCCTGCTGTATTGTAAAGAGGACATCCTGGGCTTTCCAGTCATGTGTCATGTGATAGACTGGGATGCTGGGAACTTCCGCTTCCTTTTCATCAAAAATGGATGGCAAATTGGAAGACAATTTTTTTTTCGGGTCCCAGGAAGATATTCAGAGCCAACTAAGAGAGTTTTATTTCAACATAGCTGTTTTGACCTAAAGTGTCAAATGACCTTTCAATGAATCTTGAGTTCCCAACAATTAGGCCACAGACATACTCGGATACTTTTTGTCATTAAACACAGTGCTGTTGTTAATAGTGGTATGCAGCCAGGTAAACATGACAATGCTCACTTAGAAAGTTATCCTAGAGAGACCTAGCAAGGCTGGTGATGACCAAGTCAATCAATATGCACAAGGTTTAATTTCCACGGATCTTTTATTTATTTATAGTAATTGCAACATTTTTCTCAAAAATCGCATTTCTCTTTAAAAAAAAAAAATAATCTATTTTCATTTTATATGAAACATTTTAACATGCAACAAAGCTCTATACCTCTGGATCATTCATTAGCAAGCAAAATACATTTAGCTACAAATCAACAGACATTCTATTGAAGGTCTTCCAATGCCAAGGTAATATTGCAATGAAATGAGAAGTGTTAGTATTAAAATTAAGCAGTAAAGATTTAATCGCACTGGAGAAACTCCTAACACTGGCTATACTAAAGTGGCTTTGTCATTCAGATTCATGTTGTAATAAGAAAACCATGTTGTAATTCAAGAGAACACTCACTTATGTTGATCATTAAAACAAAACTGGAAAAAAAAATCTACAGCAGATTCAAGTGCTAATTATAGTTAAATTTGATATAGTCCAGTCATTTTGCATTTATAGAACTCATTTGGAATTCTGTATGTTTTAATTAAAGGTAGATTTGGTTGACTGGTGTCGCTTTACAATAATAGACTAACTTTTTATCTCTGACTTTGAGACTAGTTTCATCCACAGTCTGTATGTTAGGTTACTTGTCTTATATACAACATATAAAGGATTAAACTAAACAAAAGAAAATGTGTGTAAACAGTGATTGAGCAAGTTGAATTTATTTTAGTTACATAACCATTGGCCCACCAAATGTAGCAATAAAATTAGTTATATTAATTATCATCTCAGCGTCTCCTGCCATACAATGTTTGTATCCCGTTGATGTCGTCCTGACTCAGGCGGAAGGTATTTGGGTTTACAAAGTTGTATGTAGGAAACATTAAAGCTGCTCGATCAGTGGAGTGACCTAGCCCCATCGAATGGCCAAATTCATGTGCAGCAACAAGAAACAAGTTAATACCTACAATAAAACAGAAATTTATCATTAGGGAAGAGGTCAACTCATTCATAGCCTTGAGATTCCTTCTAAATATGTATTATTTAATGTAGTGGCTCCCGAACAGGAGGCTGGCTGCAGATAGAAAAAATTCTCACATGTATGTGTTTATGTGTATGTCAGATTCTGTGTGTGTATCTGTGTGTCAGTGTGTGTGTGCATCTGTTTGTCGAGGTGTATCTGTGTGTGTGTATATGTCAGTTTGTGTAGCTTAGTGTCAGTGTGCCTGACTGTGTGTACGTGCACACCTGTGTGTCAGGATGTGCATCTGTGTATGTGCACCTGTGTGCACCCAAGCACACTCCTGCAATCAAACACAAACATTACATACAAACACACCCCTGCATTAAAACACTTAACTTATACACCAACACTATACACTATACTATAGCACCAGTATATGGCTCAGCGGTATACAGATATACAACCTAGATCTTTGTTTTGACTAAGGGCACCTTGGAAATATATTAAAATATTAAGTGCGCCTTGAACCAAAAAGTTTGGGAACCACTGATTTAACATACTGTTGTTTTACATTTGCAGTTATATTTTTTAATTTAAAGTTTGGTGCCAGCTATCAGTTTTGCAGCTGTTAAAAAGGGGGGGAAATTAGACATATGAAGGGCTGTGTGGGGGGGGGAGGAATGAGAAACATGGAGGGCCTGGGGGGTGGAATGAGATACACAGAGAGCGTGGGGGTGTGGAAATGAGACACATGGGAGGCTGGGTGGGGGGAGGGGAGGGGAGAATGAAATACATATTGGAGGTGCCCCAGGGCAATTATCACACCAGGGCTTCTAGTTAGGCCTCTGGTTACACTGCAACGACAATAATGGTAATTTAGGGCTTATATAAAAAACTAAGTTAACATTCAGAAAATGTACCTAAATTAGAACTTGACCAACGTTCTCCTTCATCAAAGTGAGCATCTCCTCCAATACCATTTCCAGGGGCATATGCATGAGCCAATATATTGCTTGGACCATCAAATGGATTTGAATCACCATGAGCTAAAAAACAATAAAATTAGTTATTGGACACTCACACATTCATTTCAACTTGTACATGTTTGTACCTAGAGGAAAAGACCTTTAGAGAGTGTCTAAGACTTAGTAATGCATTCATATTACAAGCAAACGATAACCGATGTTAGGATTAAAGCAACATGCAATTGGAGTGCCATTTTGTTCACAATGGGTACAATAACCTGAATATTGTAGGTAGACCAAAAATACTCAATGTAGTAAATGGAAGGCCTCACAGTATTCAGGTACACCTCAAGCACCAAATAACATCCTATAAGCTTTGGACACCATTCCAGAGTTGATACATGATACATGGTTTATGACTTGACCAACTCAAACCTCTTGGAGAAAAAAAAATATCACGATTGAGGTATTAATGTGATCAGGGGGAGGTGCTGATGGTAAAGGTGTAATGTGGTGCTCGGATTTTTACCTGACTCAACTTGATTATTAATTATCGACATAATTAGAAATATTGTTTTGCACTAGAGGAAGGGGTGTTAAAAACATTCATAATATATTCATATTATACTCACTGCCTTGTGAAAATTGAATGAAAATATCTGCTCGTCCTGTTGTAATCATCCTGAAAGTCAGTGGTGTCACCTCACTCCATACCTTAAAAGCTCTTGCAATTGCATTATTAACCTCTGGGACAGGGAGATCAGGGGTATAATTCAGGATTCTAAAAATAATATAGAATTTCTTTAGATGCATTTTTGCAATCTTTTGTTTTCTCATTATTCACTATTACAAAACTGAAAAGATGAAAAGCCTGGATAGAAACAAACTTTAATTTACACAATACAATAAGATGACCTAAAAAAAAATTTAAAATATTTTGAAAAACGAAAAGAGATTAAAAATAACAACTTTAAAGAAGCACTCTAAAGTTAGAATTCTAAATATGTATTTCTAACATTAGAGTATTCTCCTTACTGTATAGATAAATAAGTTCCCTGTAAATCGGAAAAAAAGCATTACTGATGATCTCAGCCAATCCAATGCTTCCTCATGGAGAAACATTTGAGGGTCTATTGTGCATGTGTGACAATTGTCATGCTGTGCCCATCATCGTTCCTCATAGAGAAGCATCATACCAATGCATATCTTTGGGATAGTTCTTCATCCTCATGCAGAGTCAAAAGACACCAGACATTTGTCCTGTAAAGATAGTAGGACCATAATAGTGGCTGGTTGAGTGACAGGGACTGGAAGTGTTCTAGAGACGTAAACACTATTTTTACAGAAAAGGCAGTGTTTATAGATGGGAGACTGTAGGAGCAAGCTCTATATACCAAAACCACTACATTAAACTGTAGAATTTCTGGTGTTGCAGTTGTTGCTAATCAATAGGAAAGCACCCCCGCCACCCCCCACCCCCCCGCAGGATCAGAAAGAAAGCTACACCAACCAGGAACCTCTCATTCTAGTTTGATTGCTTTTATTTTCTTATTTTATAATTTAACACTGCCCAGTATACACACTTCAACCTTAAGGAGAAGTTCCACTCAAATCTGATGAGTAGAACTGCAGAATAAATGTACAGTAGTCATGGTATTATTGAGTAGAAATATATGTAACTACACACACATCCACAAAACACATATTTATATATCGCCAATAATTTAAGCAGCCCTAGATACGATATTGAGCCAAATAACACTTTATTATTACATTTAATATTCATACCTATATGTGAGGGAGGTGGTTTGCCATCTCGGACGCCCAGTGAACAGGGTAAATTCTGCCACGTCTGGCATGCCACATCTTGGCCTCTTCATCATGTCCATGGTGTCTTTGGTCAATCTTCCTGTAACTTTCATTCCAAAGAATTTCTGCATTTCTTGGATTCTTTCATCGAATGATTTTGCTCCAGAGCTTGATGGATAGAATTTGCTTAAATAATCCTGCACAAAGAAAGCAGTGACGTAGAGGAACAGAAATAAGGCATGAAACCAGGATTAATCACTGCCGGACACCATTGACAAGTTAGGAATTGATCATGACAGTTTGTGATGCCACAAGTTCAAAGACTGTAATTTCTTGATTTCCCTTTTGTGTTCCTTTAAGTGACAATATTACCGTAGAGAGATTGTGAGGATAGTGTTTTTCATGGAGGCCTCCCAAAGATCTCAACGACATATGTACAGATATCTGCGTAGCACTGTTTTTTATTTATATCTATTCCGCAGAACTATTTCTATTTTCTGTTTTATTGTCAATGCTAATTGTTGATGCATTTATATTGATGGTGTTTTTAGCATTAGACTGTTTTAAAACAAATATGCTGAATTTTATTAAAGTCTTCTGTTGCTTAATAAAACTTTATACAAAAATAAGTAATCCTTGAAATTGTAACTTTCAGTATAGATTATATTTTTATTTTCAAAGACTGACCCATACACGCTTTCACTGACACCCACATACTTTATGACAATGCGGCTGATATGGCCCAAAATGTACAATTTCTAGTTTAGCATATAACAAGCAATAGCAATTATTACATAGTAAATGCTTTAATTGCTATTATCATTATTCATCTAAATGCATTTATATGTGTTATTTGGAAATTGTCATTCTGTCTAAGAGTTATGGAAATCACAATTTTTATTATATATGACAATCTGTGCATTTACAAATATTTAACTGTTGAAAGCAATCAATATATATATAGTGTAGATTGGATTATCCGTATTAGTCCAGTAGACAAGATGCCAAAATACCAGAGTATGGCAGTATGCAATGAATACTTTTTTATTGGACTAACATAATATTTCAAAGACAAGCTTTCGAGAGTTTCCGTCTCTTTTTCATGTCTGAAGCAATATTGATCAATTTGATAGAGTTAACATCCAAAACAACTGATGTAAGAGAAAGGGAGGGAGGGGGGTAAGTGGAGTGTCATAAATACCGAAGATGTGCCTGAAAGTGAAAGGTTGGCTGAGAATAGACAGAAAATGTAAATAAACAGAGGAGAGTCAATAAGCTAGTTAAAAAAAAAAAAAACAACAAACAAAAACAAACAAGAAAACAGCAGAGCAGGGCATGCAAGTATGTAGCTGCATATATGTATGTATATAATATAAATATGCGACTCATTTAAGGTACCAATCAAATAACCTACCTCTGCAAATTCCTCATCGGAAAGACTGTTGCCTTGATTAATTGGTCGTCTTGGAAATGCAATGCTGCAGGACATTGACACGAGAATACAGACCACGAACAACATTGTGACGGTACTGGATTCTGTTTACAATTCTGCAACTGCATGTGGAATTTGCATCAGGAATATTTATATAGAGGTGTTAATGGTGCAATACTAATGTTCTTCTTAGGATTTCACATATTTCACACAGTTCCGTCTTTGGCCAAACATTCTGTAAACAAAATACCACAATTTCATTGGGTAATAACCGCCAGAGCATTGAGTTATAAGATTGCGATTTTCATTTTACTGGTGAGCCCTGAGCAGAGCTTTTAGTAGTGAGCCCCTTTTCCATATGTCCTGTGACAATTAAGGGCATCTGTGCATTCTGGCAAATAATCGATGACATTCCCCCCAGCTCTGAGCTGTTTCGAGATCAAGTTTGGCTTTACTCAACTTTTGCGTGCTTTGCTGTAGGGAATGTTTTAATGCTTTTGTGAGCAATCCACATCATATGCATGACAAATTGTTGGAAAGTACATGAATGGTCCCACTTTTTGTGGATATTCCACCGCATGGAAAAACATGTCTAAAAACTACTTGTTGTGCAAAAAAAAAGTTCATTCTCAACATTTGCCCACTCCATGTGCAATAAGTGCATTTTCTACTAACTTTGAAGGAACACTATAGGGTCAGGAACACAAACATGTATTCCTGACTCTATAGTGTTAAAACACTATCTAGCCCTCTGCACCCCTTGCCCCCTAAATATAGCAAAATCTTACCTTTATTTCAGTTTGCTGGTGCTGGCTATGCCCCTGATATGCCTCCTTGGCTGACACCATCAGAAGTGATGATCTCAGCCAATCACAATGCTTTCTCATGGAAAAACATTGGATTGAATGAGATTGTCAATTCTGATTATCTCAGCCAAGGAGACAGACTGGGGGTGGAATTGGCTGGCCCTGGAATTGCCCTGGCCAATAAGCATCTCCTCATAGAGATACATTGAATCAAAGGGTGGAGACACACTGTGCAGCACTACCGCCGTAAGCACCTCTAGTAGCCATGTGAGGAGCGGCCAGTGGAGGTATCACTTGGCTGTCATATAAGCACTGTCTTTTTTTTTTTTTTTAAATACAGTGTTTACTGCAAAAAGCCTGAAGAGACTGACCATACTCACCAGAACAAATACAATAAGCTGTAGTTGTTCTGGTGACTATAGTGTCCCTTTAAATTTGGGTTATTGGTAATTATAAAGCTGGTATCAATGTAATAGTATAACTCATTGCAAGCTGCATATTCTATGACAGACACAGTCAGTAAACTAGAAATTAACCCATGCCAGCTACTTGCTGAGTTCTTTTCATTTGAAGCATATATACCAGTTATAGCCCAGTAACCTTTTGAGATCCATTGTCTAATGATTATAGCTGCAAATTAAGTACCATTTCAGGGATGTTGCTTGTATTTACATACCTATATTATAAATGTAAAAAAATCAATAAACTAGATAGATCTCTTTACAGAAATGCCAAGGGCATGCTTCACCATATCCAAATGTAATTCTTAAAAACTTCACTGAATGATAAAACAGACTGGGGATAAGAAGGACCAAATTGACTAGTCAACACAAGTGTTTTGGGTCACAAAAATGTGGATGTTCCTAGTGGTGTGGCAGGTAAGCATGAATTAGGTGATTTCTGAGACACATTATAAATATAAAGGCATGGAATTCTTGTCATGGTCAAAGAGTTGTAGTGTAGTATTCTTGTTCCTTGTTTTTTTCGCCTTGTTTGGTGCATTTAGATTTAGATAACCTATGATTCCTTAGCTGATATCTATTGGTCATGCTCTGCTATTGAGTGTCCATTGTTGTTGTATACTCTTTTCTTTAATTTTAAGAGAACACATGTAAAAAAATGACTATAGAAATACATGTGAGCCCTTTACAAAACTGAATTTTTATGTTTAATTACTGAATATGTAATATTTTACAAAATAAATTTTTTTAGTTCACATGATCACTCAAGAAGTGTACACTTGTGCTCAAAAGTTTGCATACCCTTGGAGAATTGGTAATATATGTACCATTTTTAAAGAAAACAAAAGTGAGCAGGCAAAACACATTTCTTTTATTTCTTATGGGATTCATATACTTTGTTACGAAGTAACCCAGGATATACTTGAAAACGAGAGAAATCTCAATGTATCTTTCCTGGTAAAATATTTTATAAATAAATAAATAATACAACTGTAGGTTATAAGAGAATGGCACAATAATAAAACCAAACATGGCAACAAAGAAACAAATGAAATGTCCCCTGTTCAAAAGTATGCATACCCTTAGTTCTTAATATTGTGTATTGTCCCATTTAGCATCAATGACAGCATGTAGTCTTTTGTAGTAGTTGTCTATGAGGCCACTAATTCTTGCAGGTGGTATAGCTGCCCATTCATTTTGGCAAAATGCTTCCATGTCATGCAAAGTCTTTTTTCGTCTTGCACGAACCGCATGTTTAAGATCTCTCTAGAGTGGCCCGATGATATTAAGGTCAGGAGACTGTGATGGTCACTCCAGCACCTTCATCTTTTTCTGCTGTAACCACTAGAGGGTCAAGTTGGCCTTGTGCTTAGGGTCATTGTCATGCTGTCATTGTCATTGTCATGCTGAAAGTTCAAGACGATCCCATGCGCAGCCTTCGTGCAGAAGAATGCAAATTGTCTGCCAGTATTTTCTGATAACATGCTGCATTCATCTTGCCATCAATTTTCAATTTTGCCATCAATTTTCAAGATTCTCTGTGCCTTTAGAGCTCACACCCCACCAAAACATCAGTGAGCCACCACCATGCTTCACAGTGGGGATGGTATCCTTTTCACTATAGGCCTCGTTGACTCCTCTCAAAACATAGCACTTATGGTTGTGACCATAAATCTCTATTTTGGTCTTGTCACTCCAAGTTACAGTGGGCCAGAAGCTGGGAGGCATGTCAAGGGGTTGCCGGGCATATTGTAGCTGGACTTTTTTGTGGCATTGGCGCAGTAAAGGCTTCTTTCTGGCAACTTGACCATGCAGCTCATTTTTGTTCAAGTATTGTCATATTGTGCTCCTTGAACCAGAATCAACTAGAGCAGCCTATATTTCTCCTGAGGTCACCTGTGGGTTTTTATTTGTATCCCGAATGTCATGCTCCCTCACATTTCTGGCAATGTTCCTGCTTCCAGTCCTTACTCCAGCAGTTCCAACTCCGGCCGCTGTAGCTCCGCCCTCTTTTATGATGCGGCACGTGCCGACGTCATGACGCTAATGACGTCACGGCCCGACAAAACTTTCAAACTTGGACATTTTGGGGGCTTGGCTTCAAATTTAAAGATCCAGCTTATAAAAGGCTGATTCACCCATAGGTTCTACTCACAGTTCCCAATAGTGCTTTGCTTTTCAGTGTTTTGACCTCGGCTTTCTGACTATTCTCATTTCTGTATTCCTGACCCGGCTTTGATATCTCGCTACTGTGTTTTCTGGTTCCCTTAACTCAGCTTGTATTCCTCTATTCCGTGACTTCTGGCTCCCTTGACCTTGGTGTTGTCCCGGTCATTCTAAGGCTAGGTATACATTTTTCGATTACATCCTGCCTATTGGGTCTCTAAGGAATCCTGACACCGAACAATTGTCCTGACAGTTGTGGCTGAAATCTTTCTTGGTCTACCTGACCTTGGCTTGGTACTAATAGAGACCCAAATTTTCCACTTTGTAATAAAGGATTGAACAGTTCTGACTGGCATTGTCAAGGCTTTGGATATCTTTTTATATCCTTTTCCATCTTTATTAAGTTCCATTACCTTGTTATGCAGGTCTTTGGACAGTTCTTTTCTGTTCCCCATGGCTCAGTTTTTGGCCTGCTCAGTGCATCCACGTGAGAGCTAACAAATTCATTGACTATTTGTACACAGGCACTTATTGCAATTTAAAAAGCCACAGGTGTGGGAAATTAACCTTTAATTGACATTTTAACTTGTGTTTGTTACCTTGTGTGTTTGTAACAAGGCTAAACATTTAAGGGTATGTAAACCTTTGACCGGGGCAATTTGGGTGATTTCTGTTATCATTTTGATTTAAAAAAGGAGCCAGACAACTTTGTAATAATAAATGGCTCCATGTGATCACTTCAATAACATACATTTTGTTGCATGATCATTCATATTTTCAAAATCAATGGCAAAATTTCACAATTTCTGCCAGGGTATGCAAACGTTTGAGCACAACTGTATATGTTGTATATGTAGTTAAGGGCAGCATATTGTCACAAATACAAAACACCATTTGTACAGACATTTGCAAACATTTTGTTATTTTTTGTGTTAATTTGGTTAATTGGTAGATTTATTCATTCTCTGAACAACTAATCTGTATATTTGGAGGTTACATATCAATATTATTGCAGCAGCAGCAAATAAATTGTATAACAAAACCATATCCCTTGAATTGTGCATGTAGTCTGGCATTTGGCTAGGATAATGCATTGCTCAAACTAAACTATGGTAGGCAGGGCCGGCCTTAGGCCTTTGGACGCCCTGTGCGAAAAATCTTAGCAGAGCAGGGGCATTAGATGGGAGAGAGCAGGGGCATTATAAAGGTAGATGGGGAGCAGGGGCACTATAGGGGTAGATGGGGAGCAATATAGGGGTAGATAGAGGAGCAGGGGCACTATAGGGGTAGATGGGTCATGGGGAGCACTATAGGGGTAGATGTGGGAGCAATGTAGGGGTAGATAGGGGAGTTGCGGCATTATATGGGTGGATGGGGGAACAGGGCCACTATATGGGTAGATGGGATGAGCAGGGGCACTATGGGGATAGATGGGGGTCACTATAAGGATAGATGGGGAAGCAGGGGCATTATAGGAGTCGACGGGGGATCATGGGCACTATAGGGGTAGATTAAAAGCAGGGGCACTATAGGGGTAGATGGGGAGCAGGTTCACTATAGGGGTAGATGGGGGGCACTATAGGGATAGATGGGGGACCATGGACTCACTTACCAGGCAGCAGATTCGGGCCTCGGTTAGCCCCGCCCCTGCCTAGCTCTGACCCCACTGGCCGCTTAGCCCCACCCCCTACAGTCTCTGCTAAGCCCGGGTATAGGATAGGGAGGGCAGG